CTCCCAAATGATGCCCCTGGCAGCGTTTTGTGACCATGAGGCTCTCAAGAGATACATGTTGGGGGCGCCAAACGGCAATTCTAGCTGAGACGTCCCACCAAAATCGGCGCGAACGGGCTCGTGAGATCAGCCAGGGTGGCTCCCCCTTGGGGCTCCCAAATGATGCCCCTGGCAGCGTTTTGTGACCATGAGGCTCTCAAGAGATACATGTTGGGGAGGCCAAACGGCAAATTCTAGCTGAGGCGTCCCACCAAAATCGGCGCGAACGGGCTCGTGAGATCAGCCAGGGTGGCTCCCCCTTGGGGCTCCCAAGTGATGCCCCTGGCAGCGTTTTGTGATCATGAGAGAGTGTGAGTGTGAGTGAATGTGACTGTGAGTGAGTCTGAGTGAGAGTGAGTCTCATCTTATCTTATCGAGTCCTATCTTATATTACCTTTATTACCCTCTATCTTATCTTATCTTGAAATCTCTTATCTTGTATTAGCTTATCTTATATCAACTCATCTTATCGCATCATATCTTGTCTTATCGTATTACTCCATAGGCTGTCTTATCTTATCTATTATCCTACCTTGTCATATATCTTATCTTACCTTATCATATCTTGTGCTATCTTATCTTATATTGTAGTATCTTATCTTGTCTTGTCTTATCTGGTGATTATCATTGGGAGGAGGGAGGCGGGAGGCGGGAGGAAGAAGGAGGAGGAGGAGTGGGAGGCGTCAGAATAATAACAAGAACCCCAATCCTTAGGATATGAGGAAGTAGCCTGGCGAAGGACCCAACCATATGCAGTTGAGAGTACCGCAATTGTGAATATCTTCTTCGGTGGAGCTCCCTATGGGGCCACGAAGCGTGTGAGGGGTGTGCCGAAATGGGTGTGCGGGACGCATGCGGACGGCAGCACTGGGGCCTTCGGTGGAGCTCCCTGTGGGGCCACGAAACGTGTGAGGGGTGTGCCGAAATGGGTGTGCGGGACGCATGCGGACGGCAGCCATGGGGCCTTCGGTGGAGCTCCCTATGGGGCCACGAAACGTGTGAGGGGTGTGCCGAAATGGGTGTGCGGGGCGCATGCGGACGGCAGCCACTGGGGCCTTCGGTGGAGCTCCCTATGGGGCCACGAAACGTGTGAGGGGTGTGCCGAAATGGGTGTGCGGGACGCATGCGGACGGCAGCCATGGGGCTTCGGTGGAGCTCCCTATGGGGCCACGAAACGTGTGAGGGGTGTGCCGAAATGGGTGTGCGGGACGCATGCGGACGGCAGCACTGGGGCCTTCGGTGGAGCTCCCTGTGGGGCCACGAAACGTGTGAGGGTGTGCCGGAAATGGGATGCGCGGGACCGCATGCGGACGGCAGCCATGGGGCCTTCGGTGGAGCTCCCTATGGGGCCACGAAACGTGTGAGGGGTGTGCCGAAATGGGTGTGCGGGACGCATGCGGACGGCAGCACTGGGGCCTTCGGTGGAGCTCCCTGTGGGGCCACGAAACGTGTGAGGGGTGTGCCGAAATGGGTGCGCGGGACGCATGCGGACGGCAGCCATGGGGCTTTCGGTGGAGCTCCCTATGGGGCCACGAAACGTGTGAGGGGTGTGCCGAAATGGGTGTGCGGGACGCATGCGGACGGCAGCACTGGGGCCTTCGGTGGAGCTCCCTGTGGGGCCACGAAACGTGTGAGGGGTGTGCCGAAATGGGTGTGCGGGACGCATGCAGACGGCAGCCATGGGGCCTTCGGTGGAGCTCCCTATGGGGCCACGAAACGTGTGAGGGGTGTGCCGAAATGGGTGTGCGGGACGCATGCGGACGGCAGCACTGGGGCCTTCGGTGGAGCTCCTGTGGGGCCACGAAACGTGTGAGGGGTGTGCCGAAATGGGTGTGCGGGACGCATGCGGACGGCAGCCATGGGGCCTTCGGCGGAGCTCCCTGTGGGGCCACGAAACGTGTGAGGGGTGTGCCGAAATGGGTGTGCGGGACGCATGCGGACGGCAGCACTGGGGCCTTCGGTGGAGCTCCCTGTGGGGCCACGAAACGTGTGAGGGGTGTGCCGAAATGGGTGTGCGGACGCATGCGGACGGCAGCCATGGGGCCTTCGGCGGGAGTCCTATGGGGGCCACGAAAACGTGTGAGGGTGTGCCGAAATGGGTGTGCGGGGACGAATGCGGGACCGCAGCGCTTGGGGCCTTCGGTGGAGTTCCCTGTGGGGGCCACGAAAAGTGTGAGGGTGTGCCGAAAATGGGTGTGCGGACGCATGCGGACGGCAGCCATGGGGCCTTCGGTGGAGCTACCCTATGGGCACGAACCCGTGTGAGGGGTTATGTGCCGAAATGGGTCTTAGTGTGCGGGAGACGCACATGCGGACGGGCGGCACTGGGGCCTATCGTTTGGAGCTCCCTTTGGGGCCACGAAGCGTGTGAGGGGTGTGCCGAAATGGGTGAGCGGGACGCATGCGGACGGCAGCACTGGGGCCGTCGGTGGAGCTCCCTGTGGGGCCACGCAACGTGTGAGGGGTGTGCCGAAATGGGTGTGCGGGACGCATGCGGACGGCAGCCATGGGGCCTTCGGTGGAGCTCCCTATGGGGCCACGAAACGTGTGAGGGGTGTGCCGAAATGGGTGTGCGGGACGCATGCGGACGGCAGCCATGGGGCCTTCGGTGGAGCTCCCTATGGGGCTACGAAACGTGTGAGAGGTGTGCCGAGAGCAAAGGCAAGGAGGAGGAGGAGGGGGGAGGGGGGGAGGAGGAGAGGAGGAGGAGACGCGGGGCACCGTCTCTTCAAAACGAGGACCCAACACCACAGGATGGTTGGGAATAACTGCGCGTGTAATTCGAAAGAACGCATCTAAGATTGAACTGTTCCATACCTAGGCTCTGCCTAGAAGTGTTCTTACCGTGTTGGCTTAAAGGGCCGGGCAGTGGGAACCGCCCCGGGCGGTTCCCCCAGGATCCGCCCCGCGGTTCCCCCAGTCCCCTGGGAGCTTTAGCTTTAGCTTTAGCTTTAGCTTTAGCTTTAGCTTTAGCTTTAGCCTTAGCCTTAGCTTTAGCTGTAGCTTTAGCTTTAGCTTTAGCTTAAGCTTAAGCTTAAGCTTTAGCTTAGCTTTACCTTAGCTTTAGCTTAGCTTTAGCTTAGCTTTAGCTTAGTTTTAGCTTAGCTTTAGCTTCGCTTCAGCTTAGCTTTAGCCTAGCTTGAGTTTAGCTTTAGCTTAGCTGTAGCTTAGCTGTAGCTTAGCTGCAGCTTAGCTTCAGCTTAGCTTTAGCTTAGCTGCAGCTTAGCTTTAGCTTAGTGCTAGCTCAGCTTTAGCTTAGCTTCAGCTTAGCCGCACCTTAGCTTTAGCTTAGCTGTACCTTAGCTTTACCTTAGCGTTACCTTAGCTTCAGTTTAGTGTTACCTTAGCGTTAGCTTAGCTGTAGCTTAGCTTCAGCTTAGTTCTACCTTAGTTTTAGTTTAGCTTCAGCTTAGCTTTAGCTTAGCCTTAGCTTAGCTTGAGCCTAGCTTTAGCTTGGCTTTAGCTTAGCTTTAGCTTAGCTTTAGCCTAGCTTTAGCTTAGATTTACTGGTACTACTAATGCTGCTTTCCTAGGAGCTCCAACTCCCAGGTAGGGTCGCACTGGGATAATTGAATTTTGACACCGACCCACAAGATCCTGAGGTTGTCTGCGTCGGTCTGGTGATTTTTGGCTGCCTGCTCAAGGCGGTTCTTGAGCTTCACTGCGGCCGCGCGGGCGCCCTCCGCCATCAAGCGCCGCGTTCGGGGCTGAAGCATAAATTGTTCAAGGCGTTTTATGGCCTTGTAGTCAGCGCTTTTCTGTAGTTCTGCCTGGTATGTTTTCGTGCCCTTTTCAGGGTTCCCCATTTGAACTGAAGCCGCGTTTGATTGGAGCCAAACCCTCGGCGCGAGAGGAGGGGGAGGAGGGGAGGAATGTGGAGGGGGGAATACGATGAAAGACAACAGTGGGAAATAAAGAAAACGATGAGCAAGCATGATGAACAAACTGATGATCAATAGCGTTCCAATCGCTAGGACATTCGACAAAAAAACCTTGTTGCAATCATACAAACAGCAGGTCGCACGGGGCCGCCTGTCGGGGCCCCAGGCCTGGCCGAGATCGGTGCGCTCCCCCGAAATTGCCGACCGCAACATACCCAATGTGATTTCTATCGACACGGGGCCTCCTCCTCCTCCCCCTCCTCCTCATATCCTCCCACTCCTCTCCTCCTCCCCTCCTCCTCCTCCTCCTCCTCCTCCCTCCTCCTCCCTCCTCCTCCTCCTCCTCCTCCTCCTCCTCCTCCTCCTCCTCCTCCTCTCCTCCTCCTCCCGCTATTTTCCCGCTATTTCCCGCGCCATTGGGGTCAAGCCCCGTAGCGACCCTCTCCTCCTCCTCCTCCTCTCCTCCTCCTCCTCCTCCTCTTCCTCCTCCTACTCCTCCCTCTCCTCCTCCTCCTCCTCCTCTCCCTCCTCCTCCTCCTCCTCCTCATCCTCCTCATACTCATCATCCTCGTCCTCCTCCTCCTCCTCCTCCTCCTCCTCCTCCTCCTTTTCCCTCCTCATTCCTCCTCCTCCTCCTCCTTTTCCCTCCTCATTCCTCCTCCTCGTCCTCCTCCTCCTCGATTTCCATTGATGCGAATGGACGCGCGACATGGATGCAGACAAACTGGCACGATGCCCAACAGCGAAGGTTCTCCAAAACCGACAGCGGCCGCTGTCGCGACCCCTCGTCTCAAATGTGACAGTGCCTGGCGAAACGGGCAGCGAGCCCTGGTCAGAATTGGCAGCAACGTATGCTGCTCTTCGTCTTCGTGCTTTCCGTACACATTCCCATCATACCGACCCAGACATCTGATGTCTTGACATTTTCATTGCGGGGGGCCCGAAAAGCCCGACCCTTTCCCCAGGGACGATTTCTCATCCCGAGTGTTTTTTTCAGTATCCTGGGGCCCGGCGAGGGCCCCAGGAGGCCGACAATTGCCAAAAACCCGACATCGTGACTTTTGTCACGACGCCCACCGCCTGAACGACGGGCGGGTTGACGGCCATCATCTCCCTGACGACGTGCAGGGCGCTCTCGCGATGCTCGCTGCTCTGCGCCTCCATCAGCTCGTACAGCGCCGGACCGACCTTGAGGGGCAACGTTCGGAACCGGCGCAGGGGGGGAAACATCGATCTGGAATCGGGGACCCATCGCCGATAGATCGGCGAGAGGCCCCCGATAGCAAATCCTCACGTTCCTGGGCGGGAAAGGGCCATCGGGCCCGTATCGGCGATGAACGGGCGATCCGGGGTCTTGCCATCGCGCCACGTCCATTCCCCGTGTATTGTTCGGTTTTCTGTGCTTTTTCCCCGAAACATGCTTGCGCTTGGGGGCTCTTACTTCTGTTCTAAGGAACTCGGCCTGTGCGTCAGTCTGGCGGCTACGTGGTCGCCGTCGCCGCCCCATCGCCGCCTCGTCGCCGCCCCCATCGTCTGGGCCTGTGCGTCGGTCTGGCGGCTATGTGGTCGCCGTCGCCGCCCCATCTCCGCCTCGTCGCCGCCCCCATCGTCTGGGCCTGTGCGTCGGTCTAGCGGCTACGTGGTCGTCGTCGCCGCCGCGTCGCCGCCTCGTCGCCGACCCCGTCGTCTGGGCCTGTGCGTCGGTCTAGCGGCTATATGGTCGCCGTCGCCGCCCCGTCGCCGCCTCGTCGCCGCCCATCGTCTGGGCCTGGGCGTCGGTCTGGCGGCTATGTGGTCGCAGTTGCCGCCCCGTCGCCACCTCGTCGCCGCCGCGCTTTGCATTGCATCGCATCGCTGCGCATTGCACACTGCAACTCACAGATGATTCTGCCACACCGTACACTTTCCATCTGAATTCGTACCATCCCAGCCAAGCCAGTATCGATCCCCCCCGTCATCCCTGTCAGCAAAATGCCATGCGCGCACACCTGTTTATCAAAAACCATCCAGTGTCAAGAATACCTAAAAGAAAGCAAGACAAAGTCTATACGCGCGCGCCGTCGCGCACGCATGCCGAAATCCTACCAAAGTCTTCGGTGCGTAAGGATGTGAAACAGGAGGTCCCCGAAAACATATCCGCCACCGTGCCTCTGGGCACGGAGTGGGCGTGTCCTCGGCTCCTTTTGCCGAATCCTCTCAGCCTCGATCCTCCCCCCGAGGAGTCTGTAAGGGGCCCAGAGCCCGAATTCCGAGATCTCGTGGTGCTTCCCGCGTGCCCCTCTGGGGCTTCCCGCGTGCCGCCTGCTCCCCCGCATCCTGCAGCGCGGGTTTTTTCCTGGACAACGAAGGACCCAAGACGGGCCAAGGGGGCCCCACGAGGCCCCCAAGACGGTCTTAGAGGGCCCCGAGACGCCCTCTTGGGCCATCTTGGGCGCCTCTTGGGCCGTTCTGGGGCGCTCTTGGGCCGTCTTGGAAAAGTTTGGAGGTGGTTTGGGGGGTCTCCTGGACCGTTTGGGGGCGTCGGAAAGCCGAGAAGGCGAGAACGCCAGAACCTTTCGAAAACCAACGGAAAACAATAATTCTTGCCTCGTGAGGCCCTCTTGGGAGGGCTGTTGGTGGCCTCTTGGGGCGTCTTGGAAGCTTGACGCCATCTTGGGCGTCTTGGGCCAATCGTTGGGCCCCAAGACGGCCCCAAAAAGGGCCCAAGAGAGAGGGAACACGAATCGAAAACCCGAGCTTTCCATTCCAAGAGGCCCCCAGGAAGCCCCGAGAGGCGCCCACGAGCCCCCAAGAAGGCCCCAAGAGGCCCCAAGAGGCCGCAAGAGGCCCCTAAGAGGCGCCCAAGAGGCCCAAAGGAGGCCCCAAGAGGCCCCCAAACGGCCCCAAAGAGGCCTCCAAACTGCCCCCAAGAGGCCCCCGAGAGGCCTCCCACGAGATCCCAACGAGCATCAAGTAGGCGTCATACCCACAACCGAAGCACGGTGGCGAGAGGGACCGAAGGCCAGTTGAAAGAATTACCATGTGACGTACCCAACCCTTCCTATACATGTGGCGATTATACTCGGGACCACGCAATGCTGACTGGCATTCTGAAGGACCCGCAGCGCGCAGAAAGAGCACCCAGCAGTGCGTTCAGAAAAACGCAGCAAGAAGTCACGTGGTGATCCGCGTATGACGTACCTCCGCTGGGCCTCCCAGGAGCCCACGGAAGTGGCGACAGTTGCGCAGATCGCAAGCCCCCCAGGGGGCGGCGAGGTACCGAGGTGATCCGCATATGACATGCCTCCGCGGACCTCCCAGGAGCGCACGACAGTGGCGACAATTGCGCAGAACGCAGCCCCCCACGGGCGGCGAGGTCCCGTGGTGACCCGCGTATGACGTACCTCCGCTGGGCCTCGCAGGAGCCCACGAAAGTGGCGACAATTGCGCAGATCGCACGCCCCCCAGGGGGCGGCGAGGTACCGAGGTGATCCGCGTGGGACCCACCTCCGCTGGGCCCCCCAGGAGCCCATGAAAATGGCGACAATTGCGCAGATCGCAAGCCCCCCAGGGGGCGGCGAGGTACCGAGGTGATCCACGTATGACGTATGTTCCGCTGGGCCTCCCAGGAGCCCACGAAAGTGGCGACAGTTGCGCAGATCGCAAGCCCGCCAGGAGGCGGCGAGGTACCGAGGTGATCCGCGTGGGACCCACCTCCGCTGGGCCTCCCAGAAGCCCACGAAAGCGGCGAAAGTTGCGCAGATCGAAGCCCCGCCAGGGGGCGGCGAGGTACCGAGGTGATCCGCGTGGACCCCACCACCGCTGGGCCCCAGAGCCCACGATAGTGGCGACAGTGCGCAAATCGCAAGCCCCCCAAGGGGCGGCGAGGTACCGAGGTGGTCCGCGTAGGACGCACCTCCGCTGGGACTCCCAGGAGCCCACGAAAGTGGCGACAGTTGCGCAGATCGCAAGCCCCCCAGGGGGCGGCGAGGTACCGAGGTGGCCCGCGTGGGACGCACCTCCGCCGGGCCTCCCAGGAGCCCACGAAAGTGGCGACAGTTGCGCAGATCGCAAACCCCCCAGGGGGCGGCGAGGTACCGAGGTGGTCCGCGTGGGACGTACCTCCGCTGGGCCTCCCAGGAGCCCACGAAAGTGGCGACAGTTGCGCAGACCGCAAACACACCCAGGGGGCGGCGAGGTACTGAGGTGGTCCGCGTGGGACGTACCTCCACTGGGCCTCCCAGGAGCCCACGAAAGTGGCTACAGTTGCCAAGATCGCAAGCCCCCCAGGGGGCGGCGAGGTACCGAGGTGATCCGCGTGGGACCCACCTCCGCTGGGCCTCCCAGGAGCCTACGAAAGTGGCGACAGTTGCGCAGATCGCAAGCCCCCAGGGGGCGGCGAAGGTACCCGAGGGGATCCTCGTGCGGACCCACCTCCGGCTGGGCCTCCCAGGAGGGTGGGCGACGGGTTCGCGCAGATTCGCAAGCCCCCCAGGGGGCGGCGAGGTACCGAGGTGATGCCGCGTGGACTACCTCCGATGGGCCCTCCAAGAGCCCATGAAAATGGCGACAGTGCGCACATCGCAGCCCCCCAGGGGGCGGAGAGGTTACCGAGGTGATCCGCGTGGGACCCACCTCCGCTGGGCCTCCCAAGAGCCCACGAAAGTGGCGACAGTTGCGCAGATCGCAGCCCCCAGGGCGCGGCGAGGTCCCGAGGTGGTCCGCGTGGTACCCACCTCCGCTGGGCCTCCCAGGAGCCCACGAAAGTGGCGACAGTTGCGCAGATCACAAGCCCCCCAGGGCACGGCGAGGTCCCGAGGTGGTCCGCGTGGGACCCACCTCCGCTGGGCCTCCCAGGAGCCCACGAAAGTTGCGACAGTTGCGCAGATCGCAAGCCCCCAAAGGAGGCCGCGAGGTACCGAGGTGATCGCGTGGACCCACTCCGCTGGGCCTCCCAGGAGCCAACGAAAGTGGCGACAGTTGCGCAGATCGCAAGCCCCCCAGGGGCGGCGAGGTCCCGAGGTGGTCCGCGTGGGACGTGCCTCCGCTGGGCCTCCCAGGAGCCCACGAAAGTGGCGACAGTTGCGCAGATCGCAAGCCCACCAGGGGGCGGCGAGGTCCCGAGGTGGTCCGCGTGGGACGTACCTCCGCTGGGCCTCCCAGGAGGGTGGCGGGACGAGCGAGGTTTGCGCAGATCGCAAGCCCACCAGGGGCGGCGAGGTTACCGAGTGATCCGCGGGGACCTACCTCCGCGGGGCCCTCCAAGAGCCCATGAAAAATGGCGGACAGTTGCGCGATCGCAGCCCTCCAAAGAGCGGCGAGGTACCGAGGTGATCCGCGTGGGACGTACCTCCGCTGGGCCTCCCAGGAGCCCACGAAAGTGGCGACAGTTGCGCAGATCGCAAGCCCCCGAGCAGGCGGCGAGGTACCGAGGTGGTCCGCGTGGGACGTACCTCCGCTGGGCCTCCCAGTGGCCCACGAAAGTGGCGACAATTGCGCAGATCGCAAGCCCCCAAAGAGGCGGAGAGGTACCGAGGTGATCGCGTGGGGACCCACCCCTCCCTGGGCCCCACAGAGCCCACGGATAGTGGCGGACGGTGGCGCAGATCGCAAGCTCCCCAGGGGGCGGCGAGGTACGAGGTTCGGCGTGGGACCTCCGCTGGGCCTCCCAGGAGCCCACGAAAGCGGCACGGTTGCGCAGATCGCAAGCCCACCAGGGGGCGGCGAGGTACGGAGGTGGTCCGCGTGAGAAGTACCTCCGCTGGGCCTCCCAGGAGCCCACGAAAGTGGCGACAGTTGCGCAGATCGCAAGGCCCCCAGGGGGCGGCGAGGCACGGAGGTGGTCCGCGTGGGACGTACCTCCGCTGGGCCTCCTAGGAGCCCACGAAAGTGGCGACAGTTGCGCAGATTGCAAGCCCCCCAGGGGGCGGCGAGGTACCGAGGTGGTCCGCGTGGGACGTACCTCCGCTGGGCCTCCCAGGAGCCCACGAAAGTGGCGACGGTTGCGCAGATCGCAAGCCCCCAGGGGGCGGCGAGGTACCGAGGTGGTCCGCGTGGGACCCACCTCCGCTGGGCCTCCCAGGAGCCCACGAAAGTGGCGACGGTTGCGCAGATCGCAAGTCCCCCAGGGGGCGGCGAGGTACCTAAGTGATCCGCGTGGAACCCACCTCCGGTGGGCCTCCCAGGAGCCCACGAAAGTGGCGACAGTTGCGCAGATCGCAAGCCCCCCAGTGGGCGGCGAGGTACCGAGGTGATCCGCGTGGGACCCACCTCCACTGGGCCTCCCAGGAGCCCACGAAAGTGGCGACAGTTGCGCAGATCGCAAGCCCCCCAGGGGGGCGGCGAGGTACCGAGGTGATCCGCGTGGGACCCACCTCCGCTGGGCCTCCCAGGAGCCCACGGAAGTGGCGACAGTTGCGCAGATCGCAAGCCCCCTAGGGGGCGGCGGAGGCGGCGACGGTACCGAGGTGTGATCCGCGGGGGACCACCTCCGCTGGGCCCCCAGGAGCCCCGATAGTGGCGACGGTTTTTTCACGCAGATCTGCAAGCCCCCCGTCCCCGGGCGAGGTACCGAGGTGATCCCGCGTGGGACGTCCGCGTGGGACCCCACCTCCGCTGGGCCCCCCAGGAGCCCACGAAAGTGGCGACGTTGCGCAGATAGCAAGCCACCCGGGGGCGGAGAGGTACCGAAGTGGATCGCGTGGGACCCACCTCCGCTGGGCCTCCCAGGAGGGTGGCGACGGTTGCGCAGATCGCAAGCCCCCCAGGGGGCGGCGAGGTACCGAGGTGATCCGCGTGGGACCCACCTCCGCTGGGCCCCCCAGGAGCCCACGATAGTGGCGACGGTTGCGCAGATCGCAAGCCCCCCAGGGGGCGGCGAGGTACCGAGGTGATCCGCGTGGGACCCACCTCCGCTGGGCCTCCCAGGAGCCCACGAAAGTGGCGACAGTTGCGCAGATCGCAAGCCCCCAAAGAGGCGGCGAGGTACCGAGGTGATCCGCGTGGGACCCACCTCCGCTGGGCCCCCCAGGAGCCCACGATAGTGGCGACGGTTGCGCAGATCGCAAGCCCCCCAGGGGGCGGCGAGGTACCGAGGTGATCCGCGTGGGACCCACCTCCGCTGGGCCCCCCAGGAGCCCACGAAAGTGGCGACGGTTGCGCAGATCGCAAGCCCCAGGGGCGGCGAGGTACGAGGTGATCCGCGTGGGACCCACCTCCGCTGGGCCCCCCAGGAGCCCACGAAAGTGGCGACAGTTGCGCAGATCGCAAGCCCCCCAGGGGGCGGCGAGGTACCGAGGTGATCCGCGTGGGACCCACCTCCGCTGGGCCCCCAGGAGCCCACGAAAGTGGCGACAGTTGCGCAGATCGCAAGCCCCCCAGGGGGCGGCGAGGTACCGAGGTGATCCGCGTGGACCCACCTCCGCTGGGCCTCCCAGGAGCCCACGAAAGTGGCGACAATTGCGCAGATCGCAAGCCCCCCTAGGGGGCGGCGAGGTACCGAGGTGATCCGCGTGGGACCCACCTCCGCTGGGCCCCCCAGGAGCCCACGAAAGTGGCGACAGTTGCGCAGATCGCAAGCCCCCCAAAGTGGCGGCGAGGTACCGAGGTGATCCGCGTGGGACCCACCTCCGCTGGGCCCCCCAGGAGCCCACGATAGTGGCGACGGTTGCGCAGATCGCAAGCCCCCCAGGGGGCGGCGAGGTACCGAGGTGATCCGCGTGGGACCCACCTCCGCTGGGCCCCCCAGGAGCCCACGATAGTGGCGACGGTTGCGCAGATCGCAAGCCCCCCAAAGAGGCGGCGAGGTACCGAGGTGATCCGCGTGGGACCCACCTCCGCTGGGCCCCCCAGGAGCCCACGAACACCGGAAACAGGAGAGAAGGAAGAGGGGAGGAGAGGGGGGGATGAGAAGGAAGGACGGGGCGACCACCGTGCTCTATTCAAAACGAGTACCCAACACAGGAGGGTTGGGAAAAATGGGTTTGCAACCCCACGTTTCAAGAAATACGCGCGCGGTTCTGCCATGACTTAGAAGAACCACCCGTGCTTCAACATGCTCTTCAAACGAGACCGCGCGGGCTTCTCGCGGGCTTTTCCCACTGGAAATCATTCGAGCGCCCTTGCGCGCTTGCTAGGGGAGGGCACGATCCCGTTCAGAAAACACCGTGCGGGCCACTCGCGCGCGTCGGCCACGCGCGCATGCCGAAATCCTTCCCCAACCTTCATCGCAGACACGTGGACGCCAGCATCATCATCGGCGTGTGACCAACATCGGCGCCGTCGCCACGGTCATCATGGTCACCGTCATCGCCACTATCATCATCGTGCCCGCCGTTGTCGACGTCACCATGGCACCGCGCCCGCCGGAGTCTCCGAACCGCACCGACGTGCCCGCGCGCGGCCTGCGAGACGCGCTGGGAAATCCGCGGCGGTCAGCGCCACCGGGGCCGCGTCGGCCGCGCTCGGCGCGCGAGCTTGCGCGAGCAAGCGCGGCCGCACCAGTGCGCTAGCCAACGCCAAGCAGTCATCGCAATCGCCGCCGCATGGGTTTTGCAGACCAAGATGCGGGTGGGTGGGTGGAATAATTGCGCGAGCAGTGGAGTTGACAACTCCAAGTTCATCAAAATCAACTGCAACACCTAGATTGCACCACACATATTACATGTTAGCAAACGCTGACAACAGACAGTGTATGTCTAGCGATATATGTTGCGCAACATATGTGGAGCCATACATGTGGTGCAATTTACGAAGTGCAACATACGCGGTGCAAACATTGTGGTGCAGCATATGCGGTGCGATCCATGCTGTGCAACATATGCTGCGCGATCTAAGTTGAGCGATGTATGTTGTGCAATAAACGGGGTGCGGTCTATGTTGTGCAACATGTGATGTGCATTGTATGATGTGCAGTCTATTTTGTGCAATCCAAGTGATGCAGCACATGTGATACAACCTGTCTGATACAATCTTTGTTGTGCAGTATACGCGAAACAATACATATGATGCAGTACATCTGGTCAAACATATGCGTTGCAAGCTATGCGGTGCGATATATGTTGTGTAATGCATTGCGTTGCTTTGTATTGGCACCACGTAGAATGCACCGCAGATATTGCGCCGCATAGATCGCGTCACGCACACTGCACAACACAGGTTTTACTGCATAGGTTTCACAGCATAGATTGCACCACATAGGCTGCACCACAAAGATTGCACAACATAGATCGCACAAAACAGATTGCATAACATAGATTGCACACAATATATTGCACAAGATAGATCGCACCACGAAGATTGCGCCGCATAGATTGCGCAGCATGTGTTGCACCACATAGATTGCACAACACGTATTGGTACACATCGGTTGCACCACATAGATTGCTAGAAACACACTGTTTGGGCTTAACGCTGGCTAACCTTTGTTGCTGCCTGTCTGCTTCTCGAAATGCCCCAAGACGGTCCAGATGTTCTGGCCCCGGCCTCGCCGAGAAAAGCGCACACGCCCGCGTGATGATCCACCCCCCCCGAGCCCGTCCTCACCGAAGGTGGCCCCGGAGACCTCCGACCAACCGCCCGGGGTGGTGCTGGAGTCCAGCACGTGGCTGGCCAGCACCGCGACGACGTCGCACACCTGCTGGGGAGCAGCAGCAAGCCCAGACACGGTCGCGCCGTGATGAGAAATCGCAGTGGACAGTTTTTGGCCGTTCTCGGCCTCCAGGCCTCCAGGGGCCCTGGACGGGCCCTGGGACAGCGAAAAAGAACAACTCGGGATGAAAACCGGCCCTGGGGGAAAGGGTCGGGACTTCTGGGGACCGAGCATTGATGAAAACAAGCCGTCGGATGTCTGGGCAGAGGGCCGAGCCTTGCATGGAGCAAGGCTGCACGAACATTTGGCGATTTTGAGTCGCGCTCGCATCTACATCTCGACCCCGGACAACCAAAAATTATCACAAGCAGCGTATTTGCATGGAGCGTCTGAAGGGGTCACCACTATGAAGGTACCCACCTCATCCCAGGTAGGAAGGTGGGGGAGGACTCCCAGGACTTCCCATCCCACACCCCAGAACCACCCGGAGCTCTCAAAAAGCGGCCGATGACCAGACGAACCGGATCTTCGACCCCCGCCCTCTCCTCCTCCTAGCTCATCGGGAGGTGGCGAACCGCCCCCCCTGGTGGTGACCCCCCTTGACACCGCGCTGAGTGCGCTGTGCTGCTCTTCCCGTCTGCCCCGGGGGAGGGGGAATGCTGTAACGCCACGTCTGCCGCACTCTCCCCCCCCACACACACCCGCCTGTGAAGGGGCCCCAGGACACACAAAGAAATGCACACAAAAAAAAAAAATCATTCCGCATCTTTTCCTATATTTCCTGGGTTTCTGTTTTCCCCCCCACTGCCCATATTTTCCCATACTTTCTTAGGAATCGACGATCAGTTGTGTCTGTGTGTGTTTTTTTCTCTCCTGAGCCTGGGGCGGAGACGAGGGAGCCCCGCGCACGACGCGCTGCGCCCGGCGCGCGCCGATCCGTCGTAGCGAGGACGGACGGACTCGCTGACGCGCCCCTGGCACGGCGGGATCCCCCGACCAGGTTGAAGCCGCATCGAGTCCAAAAGTTATGTCGGGCGTGTCCCCCTACAGGGGGATCTTCGACGAGAAATAAGAGATACCCCAAACATACCCCAAAAAGGCAAAAAGATACCCAAAAAAAGAATCCCCTGACTATCTTTGGAATATGTTTTTTGACCATTTTTGGGGGTATCTTTTAGCTTTCGTCGAGAATCCCCCTGCAGGGGGAGACAGGCCCGACTTCATCCAAAGGCTCGCGCGCTCCGGACCGGGCACGAACGCCGAGTGTAGGGAGGCACCAACTATACACCAACACCGATCCCGGCCAGGATCAACCTGGGCCCAGGATCGGTGTATACGCCCTCCTGCCATGGGCAGAATGCATATACACCGATCCTGGGCCTAGGATCGGCCTGGGCTGGATCGGTGTAGGTGTAATTATAGTTGGTGCCCTCCGAGAGTGGTCGAGGCGCGTCTCCCCCCGGAGGCCCAGAGGGTCCGAGGACCACGGCTGGCCCGAGGGCTGCCTCCTGCGGTCCGCCGTGTCCGGCCCCACCCGCTCTCGCACGACCCACACAGACAGGTGCGCTCCACTGCTCGCAGAGGAACTGCAGTCGGGGCGTTGACCTACACCCTGCGAAATGCTTAAGAAATCATGGGTTAAGAAATTCATAGTCTCAGAACTTGAATAAAAACCCAACGTTTCCGTTAAAAACTTAGGATTTACATTGAAACGTTAAGAATAATCGAGACTCCGGACGAAAACTCAAGTTTTCTTAAGCATCGCATAAGGTGTAAGGAACGATAAATAAGGAACGGGGCC